GGCTGCACCAAATGTGTGGGAGGAAAGAGAAGCCAGAGCCAGAGAATCGGGGCGCTCGGGCTCGGCCTGATCCCAAAGGCATGTGGCAGGGGCTCTGGCTTCCGGCAGGCCCGGGGTCAGCTCCGCAGGCAGAGCCTCACTAGATCGCCGCAGCTCCTGCAAAATGCAAGGGCAGATGCCCCCGTGAACATTCCCGGGGAAATGTAGCATTTGTAACCAAACCAACCCGGCTGCAGAGTCAGCTCCGACTGACGGGCACCCGTGGGTGTCACTGAGCCGGCAGAGCCTTCAACGACCTGTGACCTTTTGGAAGGAGATGTCGCACGAGCCCCTTCTTGTAGAGACCTGGGTTAGCAGCCAGGTGTGCTAACCTCTTGCTCACCTAGACAGACTGTAGAAGTCGTACAAAGCTATGTAAATAAAAGTCCTCTTCCGAAAGGACTCAAAAGGCCATGTGGCTTGTCCAGGGTCATCAATGGTTACTTGGAGACCACTCACCTCTGGGCTCTCTATCACGAGCCCTCAGCCTCCCTCTGGCCACTTGCTAGCAGAGCTTCCAGGGCATCATGGAGCTTGTCTTGGGGCTGCGTCAGAAGACAAGGTCCTCAGACATGTGACGGGTGATTGTTGTTTGGCAAGGTTCACAGCAACCTCTGATCACATGCAGAACAAACAGGGCCTGCCCTGCACCTTCCTCACCATCGGCGCTGTGCTCAGCCCTGAGTTAGGCAGGGTTCTCTAGAGAAGCGGAACCAGGACCCTTATGATGCTATCTATAGATAAGAGGACAGGCTTATACAGCGAGAAGGAATATAACAGCTAATTAGGCCACACAGCAGTACACAGGCCTCAGTTCGACTCACTTTCGTGGAACAGTTCATATACTGGAAGTCCTTCAACTCACATGGGCTGCCAGGTCCAAGGTCAAGGAAGCAGACAGCGGAGTCCTACCTCGGGCAAGGCAGGCAAGTCTGCACACAGGCAGCCAACAGCAGGGCGGCTCAGCAACAGTCAGTAAACAGCTCGGGAGCTTAGCAAAGCAGGCCCGGATGGGATATCGAACACAAGCACTGCAAGGCCACAGGACCCACCAGCCTCAAGCTCAAG